TCATGTCAGATACGCAGCATGGCAACAGGGATATTGTCTTGAGGAGGAGAGAAGATAGACTGCAAATAATTTATGAGACACACCGTTTATACGATTTTCAGTCACTACTTTCTGTGCAATTACTCCTTCTGAGCATACACATACTATCTGTATCTGTATTTTCTAGCAGCGGCACATGTTCTGCATCATAGCTATGTACAAAGAGGCAGTTAAAAGGTATGTACTTATGAATTCTCCTAATAAAGCTGAACTTAACTGAACATAATCATTCTTAGAGGTTCTCACATACGGTTTGCCTACCTAAGGGTCAACAACATGTATGGAAGCCCAAGGCGAAGCCGGGCTTCCGCGCTAGTTGCATATAAGGTTTGATTGCTACGTGGATTGTTGATCAGAAGTGTAAGACCCTACAAATGCTGATCGGAGATTTATTAGAGAATTACCTAATTACCACATTTGCAGACTTTAAGGGACACGGATGAAATTATCTCATATTATTTGAAACATGACTGTACACTTGATTTTCGAATGCCACAGTTGGTGTCGGAGCCTTTCATAGAATAGCGTTGCCCAATGTCCGACGCGTTCTATCTGCGATACTACGTCGGCCATAAAGGGAAGTTTGGCCATGAATTCCTAGAATTTGAGTTCCGACCGGATGGTTAGATAATTTCCTTAAATCCACGTTTGTAGGAAAACTGCGTTACGCCAACAACTCAAATTACAAAAATGACACGATGATTCGCAAAGAAGTAAGTCGTTGCTTTGTGTTATTTTGGCATATGTTAGGCATATGTTAGTAAGGCAGTAATGGAAGAACTCAAAAGAATCATTTTGGATAGTGATATTATGAATGAGGATGATGAGAAATGGCCCGTTCCCGATCGCGTTGGTCGGCAGGAGTTGGAGATTGTATGTGGCGATGAGCACATATCCTTTACTACGTCAAAAATCGGTTCTCTTGTCGAAATAAACAGTTGCAAGTAAGTTTACCCTGATGTATGGTGTTATGTTTTGCTCTCTAGGGATGCAGAGGGCCTCCGAACTTTTTACTACCTTGTACAGGATCTGAAGTGTCTGGTCTTCTCTCTTATTGGACTCCATTTTAAGATCAAGCCCATATAATGTACATGTTTTCATACTATCATTTGTTGCAAATATATTCTTAACGTGACTGTCTTCATTTGCCCACATATCCAGGTTCGTTTATCGCTTATCAGAGATCTACTTTAAACTACACTGCGTATTCATATTTTTGGCTTACAAGCGTCATAAATTCTAGTCTTTTTAGAGACTAGAGCACTTACTATTGTTGTGTTTTGGAAGTCATCATGACTAAATTTCAGCTCTAGTTCTTCTAACTCCTACTCCTAATCTTTTAACCACAGAATCTCCTATGCAGTTTTCGTGCTATCCGACAACTCGCAAAGTCTATATGAGAAGGTTGGGTTGAAATAAAATCGTGATACCAAACACGGATATTATTCTTTCGGAGTGAGTATGAGTCAGTAGCATGAATTCTTTGCCCTTCTTCCATCGAAACTTGCTAGGTAGGTTCTAAAATTAATGTTCGCGCCATTACTCGACGAGCGGGTAGGCTCTTCCCTGCCAGCCTTTATCTGAAATCTCCAAGAAAGCACGGGACATCTCCGCTTCGAGTGCTATGACCCACGTTATCCGTGTCCACGGAGACTGACGCGCTCGATAAATGTAGTCTAGTTGTGAAGGTGAACGATGTGCGAGCTGAAGTATTTACTTCAGAACTGACCCTTGCTATTAGATATCGAAATGTGCCAAAATTCGTTCGCCCTTGTATTGGGAATACCACTACGCAATTGCAGTAAGATGTCTGTTTTGTAGTAGTGCATATTGGTTTTCTGAAACATCAATATCTCACTGAGAAAATGTATATTCTTGAGATGAAGCGTACTTTACTTTGTCGTTAAGAATTATGTTGATAAGAATAGAATAGATGCAGCGAACAGGCAATAGGCATTGCTTCCTTGCATCTAGACTCTTACACACTGACCTTCTTACGAATGAATGGAAATCTTGCCATCATTTAAGTCATCTCGGTCTGTGTGCCGACACTAACAACGAGCTTGATAAATAATTCCACAAAAATGAAAGAACTTTTGAAACCCCTTTGTCATCACCTGTTGCCGGGAGCAAAGTTGTCCTGGGCTGCTCTCCAATAAACTATCTCGTTAGATGCTTTGGGTTTAGCTCTCGATGCATGATGGGGAAGAATGTTCATCTTTACTAAAGCGGGATCGACGAGTTGATACCAGCACATACTTCAGGCGAACATATCTTAATCTGGCATTCAGGCGATGGTCATATGGCCAGCCAGTCAATTCAACGTGTTGTACTCGACTTAATGATAATAAATCGGTGCATAGTTGTGAACCATCAGCTCTTTGAGGCGGAACCTTCTCGTTTGGGCACGTGCGACAGTTCGCCTGTCATCTGCCTCCAAATATATCATGCACTAGGCCTCTCTACTGCAGGACGTCAGTATAGTCGAAGCTCTTAGCACAGAATTCCGGTCTCGCTTTCCGAAGCAGATCAAAGGCAAACTTGATCATATTTGAAGTCTCCTGTTCCAGAGACAGTTGGGAAAATTATTGACTTCATTAAGTAATTCCAATGGCTGTATCAGCCGAAGTTCAAACTATCTGTACAGACAGCCCGAACTTGGTTCCGTGGGGATTATTCGTTCCATCTAGACAATTAAGATATAACCGGCTAGACAGAACTAACAAATCTATTGGATTAAAGTTGTAGCCTGCATGGAGCAGACCTGGAAAGGCTCGATTAAATTATTCATCCAGTTAGTTGTGTGCACCAGGTACCGACTGACCGCTGCGTGGTGACTTCGCTGTTGTCAAATCGAGCGTTGGTGGGCACATTTCCTATATCTTTTCTATTCCGGGAAGTACCCATAATCCTACAGCAGAGTTTTACTCGCTTCCACCCCTATATTATGAATTCTTAGGAAGAACTCTTATAAGCACTGCTGCAGCTGCAGTAAGGGTTTCAGAGGGGGCGGCCTTCTCCCGACCGTATTCAATTCCTGCTGACACTCCATCGCACTGGTTCCATGAATTGATTAAAAAAGCTTGTGAAGGTGAAATTCTTTATGATTAGTGGGGCTCAGCCATCTTTGTGCCTATCTTCCGGTAGGGTAAAAGGATATATTTTGAGGACTACCGCAGCACCACTTCTACGGCATTTTTTTACCATTTCCGTTCTCAGGCAGTTTCAGTGTGTGCGTGTGACTCTAGGACGAGGTACAACCAAACACGATTCCAAAGTGAACGTGGCTTCAGCGAGTACACAGTTACCACTGCGATGCATTATTTAGTTCCGTCGTAGTTACAACTAACTGGCGGTGTTCTTTGTTATTCTCGTTGCACTATGAGCTCTCCTGACGGTTGCTACAGCTAGGCGCCCATTGAAATTCGTAATTGCTTTAGTCGGAGCTCGACATCGCTACACTTCTGTTCGAGTACTG